AGGGAGCCTGAGGGACTGGGCCTAAAGAGGTTCAGAAGGGGCAAGGGACTTTCAGGGCTAGCTGTCCCCATCTCTCCATGGCCCCGTCCCTGCCCCAGGGTCTGCAGAGCAGTAGCTGGCCCCATCAGGAGCCCCAGGCAGGCGGTTATGCTGGGGAGACATTGACCTGACACCTCTGGGAACCTGAGCTCCCAGCCCTCCCCATCCATCCCCAGAAGCCCACTGGCATCACCAGCTCCTTCCCTGTCTGCTCTCTGAGTGCCTGTCTTGTGCTGCGTGCCTTGCTCCAGTCAGGGAAGGATTATTGCACCCATTTCACAGATGAGGAAACCAAGGCTCACAGTGGAGAAATGAGTTGCCTAGGGTCCCCAGCACAGCTAGCACATACCCCCAGGACCATCTGGCCCCGGAGCCAAGCACTTTCTGCAGTGGGTGGGGCCACCCCGCTCCTCAGGCCTCACCTCATATGTCAGGTTCTGCTGCATCCGGCGCCGGTCCCAGGACAGATCGAGCCACTCACTGAACACAGTCGAGGACTGTGTTAAGGCCCCACAGGCCCTGAGGGCACCCAGGCCCCAGGTTTCCTGGAGCTGACGGGGAAGAGGATGGAGTATGTGACGTGGGAGCCAGCACAGGGCCCGGAGTTAGGGAAAGCCCTGTGCCTGGCCAGCCACGCAGCCAGTGCCTACCTGCCCCGGGGAGGCGGCCAGGCAGGCATCCCAGATGGTGCTGTGTGCCGACGACCTGTCGGCCCAGGTGAGCTGCACAGTCACAGGCCGCCCTCCGTTCCAGGCAAGCTGCGCCTGCGTGGAAATGGGGCCGGTAGCAGGGGGAGGGGAGAGGCAGGGCGGAGGAGAGGCTGATGCCCCCATCTGTGTGTGTGGGGTGGAGATGGGTAAGAGGGTGGGGGGGATAGAAAGGCTGGTGGGAGGGGGCGGGGGGGTGGAGAAGCCAGTGTGCCCTTGCCCACCCCTCCAGGGGACTGGAGGCGTGTGGAGGGGGCAGAGACACCGCCTCCTCCTCCCGCTCTTGTCTGCAAGAGCTCAGAACCACGCTCAGCCCGGGAGGCTAGAAGTGTTTGATGGAAAGCTCCTCATTCTCAACATCCAGACTTGTCACTTCCCAAGACAGAATGAAATCTGAGCCCCTTACTGGGGCCCATGGGGTTGCTATGGACTGACTTGTGTTCCCCCCTAGAAATTCCTATGTTGAAGCCCCAATCCCCAGTGTGATGGCATTAAGACGTAGGGCCAGTTAGGGGCTGGTTAGGTTCAGCTTGGGTGGGGGGAGGTCAGGACAAGATTAGTGTCTTTATAAGAAGGACCCCAGAAAGCTCTCTCCCTGGCATGTGAGGACAAAGTGCGAGGGCGGCGAGCCAGGAAGAGGCTTCTCACCAGAACCTGACTGTGCTGGTACCTTGATCTTGGACTCTAGTCTCTAGAAGTGTGAGAAACAGACGTCTGTGGTTTACACAACCCATCCTGTAGTATTTTGCCATGGCAGCCTGAGCTGAGACAGGGCCCTACCCGGTCTGCCCCGCTCACCCAATCTCATCTCCTTTGTCACCTGCCCCACCCTGTCACTTTGTTCTGGCCGTAATCGCCTCTGGCTCTTCCTGAAGCGCCCAGCCTGCTCCCATCTCAGGGCCTTTGCCTGGACTGCAGCTGTTCCACCAGCTTGCCGTAGGCGGCTCCTCCTCTTCCACAGGTCCTCAGCTGACCAGCCACCTCCCCCAGGAAGCCCTCACTGACCGCCTCATCTAAAGCAGCCACCACCACCACCCCTAATTATTCTCTCTCTTAGCATCCTCCTTACTTTCTTCATGGTGCTTATCACAACATTAATTTTGTAGTCATTCATTTGCTTGAGTTTTGGTCTTTTTGCCTGTTTTGCCTGGCACACACTGGCCTGCTCTCTCCCATTTCACAGAAGAAAAAAAACTGAGGCTCAGAGAGGTGCTGTGAGCTGCCCACAGCCTCCCAGTTAGACACAGAGCCCAGCGCCTTGCTCCAACCCCAGCAGTTACTGACTAAACAAACAAGTACATAAATGGTGAATTAGACGTGCTTGTAAGCTGTTCCCCCAACTGCCACGCCAGCTCCCTCCATGCAGGGACTGTGTCTGTGCTTCAGCAGTGCCTGGCACACAGGTGGTGCTTAATAAGAGATCAGTGAAGAAAGGAAGGAAGGACCCCCGAGGGTCCCAAGCTTCGGGAATCTGATTCCAGAGGCATCCTTGTCGCTGATGAGCACACAGTATCCTCTTCCCCTGCACATGGTCCCAGATGCCCCACCCAAGGGCTCAGCCATGCAGCTCACGGACCCCCAAGACTCCAACACCAAGGCCCGCCAGGATGCTCCCTGCTCACCTGCCGGCTCTGCCTGCCGCCCCTGCTCTCAGCAAGGCCACTGGCCTCAGCATGCCGCCAGGAGAGGTTGAAGGGGTGAGCCACGGCCAGGCGGGCGGCCAGCGTGGCCCTCCGCAGCCGCAGAGAGGAGGAGAGCGCCACCTGGGGAGGGGACAGGCTGAGAGGCTGGCCCCTTCCTGACCCAGGGCAGACAACGTTCTCCATCAAGGCCTCGGGTGTGAGGGCCGCTGGCTCTGAGCACAAGGCTCCAGCCCTGTGGGAGCCCCTCCAAGGGCTTCAGATCATTTTGCAAAGGAGTAACTTGAGGCTTGCAGAGGAGCCAAAGGGGATAAGCCTGTGACAAAGACGGGACTGGGGGGACACGTGGTGGCTAAGGAAAGAGGCGCTGGAGGCATTTCATGGGTTCAAAACCCAGCCCTGCCTTCCAGGAGGTGCGTGACTCTGGGCAAGTCACCGTACCTCTCTGAGCTTCCCTCTCAGCTTCTAGAAATGGGGATGACGTGCCTGGCACATGAGAGGCCTTCGGTACAGGTCAGCCTTGGGTCTTCCTGTTATTACTCAGGTGGTTTGGGACCCAAGGACCCTCCCTCCACCCAGGGACCTTCTTGTGGTCCCCTGGGGACCAAGCCCTGCCAGGTTGACGCAGTTGTCCAGCTCAGGCTGCAGAGTGGGAGTCCTGGGTCTCCTTCCAGCCCCGGCGCGCCTACCTGGTCCTCGCCATCCCAGCCCACGACCAGCGCATCCTGGTGGCCGTGCCGAGAATGCTCGCAGGACAGGCGGAGGCTGAAATGCCGCGGCAGGGAGAGGGGCAGCGCGTGGGTGAGCTCCGCTGGGTGGGGGGACACAGGGAGGGGCAGGCACATGAGCTGAGGACATCAGCTTGAGATGGAGAGGGGGCAGGTGACTCTGAGCTGACACAGGTACCAACTCAGGGAGGGGACCATTTGGGGGCTGCATGCTGAGGTAACCTGCACAAAATTCAGAAGCTCCACCCTCACTTTGTCCCTGTCCCACTCAACATTGTCCCTCGATGTCCCCGTGAGAGCCCCAAATCTCCACACCTGCGAGGCTTCGTACTTCCTCCATCAGGAGGTGGAATTTGTTCCCCTGGCCCTTGAACCTGGGCTGGCCTTGTGATTTGCTTCTGGAATTGGGTGAAGTTGACACCGCCAACCCCCAGTCCAGGACTTAAGAGCCCTACTGGCTCTCAGGGACCTCTGCCCAGCCACCACGAGAACAAACCCAGGCTGGCCTGCTAGATGGTGACGCCACACAGAACAGCACCTGGACATTTCAGGCGAGGCTGTCCTAGACCAGCTGACAGATTGCCAGCCCCCAAACAAGTTAGAAGGCCAGCCAAGACCAGCACACCACCTACCCAGCTTGGGGCTGACCTTGATGCTTGAGTAAGACCAGAAAAGCTGCCCAGCTGACCCCTAGGCTCAGGAGCAATGATGAGTTTTGAGACATTTGTTACACAGCAACAGCTGACTGATACAGTCCCCTGCATATGCCACTCTCAGGTCCCTGACACAGTTACCCAGGCCCCTTGGGATGCCCCACACCCACCTGGCCACACTTTGCTGTCTTGTGCTCTCATTCCACCTTGGGGTGTGACACTGGTGGTACCCCTGTAGCTGAGACCTCACAGCAGATAGTCTCCTTGCCCTAAATTTTCTTCCTTCATCCCCTAGGGCTGAGTCCAGCTGCCCTGACCTCCTGTACCACTTCACCCCACTTTGTGAAGCCACCAACTGGTCCCACCTTCCTAGACCCCCACCCCAGAGTAAGAGTCCACTCAAGACCCCATTGCAGATACCCTGGTGCCCTCTGAGCCCCCTAGAAGGGGTGCTGCCAGTCCCTGTACAGACCCTGGGAAGCTGTGCCCAGAGACAGTGGCACTAACTGGTTTTCAAGGTGTCATCCTGTCATCAGCCCAGGGAACGCTGACCACGTTTATGTGCCCCCCCACACACCTCCTGATCTGCCACCTCCTTCACTCTGTAACCACACAGCAGGGTCCACGAGCTGCTCAGCCCACCCCTGGGCCCCCCCAGTGTGCACACACACACACACACACACACCCTTGGCAAGCTAAGGCTCATCTCATTTCCTCTGCCTTGTAGGGCACATGGGTGGCAATTGTGACCCTGGGGAATTCCACTGGGCTACCCAGTAAGCCGTTTTCTGTGCCTCCCATTTGGCAGGCCAGCAGGTCAGGCTTTGCTCTGTGTAAGGGGCCTCCTCCAACACAAAGTGACAGTCTGAGCGTCTGCACGGCCCCTTCTTGGGAAGGCTGTTTCCTGGAGAACCTCAAAGGTCACAGGTGCCACTGTGGGAGGCCCCGTGGGACAGCACTCACCTCCACTGCCAGCCTTTAGTCCGTCAGCCTCAGCTCCGAAATTCCACTGAGGATGCTCGGGGTTGCCACCCCTTCCACACGCTAGCCCTGCCCTCCGGTCTTATCACACTCAGGTAAAACCCAAACACCTCGTCAGGGGCTGAGAACCTGTGTGACCTGGATCCCTCGACCTCTCCTGGCTTGTTTCCCCACTTCTCTTCCCTTGTGTCCTCTCCAGCCCCACTGGCCTCACTGCTGTTGCTCCAGCCATGAAGCTAATTCCTTCCACAGCCAGCTCCTTCCTGTCATGAATGTCACCTCCTGAGATAGGCCTTCCCAGACCACCCCACCTGGGGGAGCCCCATGCCCCCAAACCAGACCCCATTTGTTTTCACAGCCCTTCTCGTTTGTGGAAACACCCTGACATTCTTGCTCAGTGCGTGTCTCTGCTCACTGCCTGCCTCCCTGAGGGTGGTGACCTGGACCATCTTAATTCCTGATAGATTCTTAGTGTCTGGAACAGCTCCTGGGACAAGCAGATGCTCAGTGATGGTACTGATGGGCAGGTGAACAGGCCACCCCCGCTAGCACCCCTGGGACACTCACCCTGCAGGCCGAGAGTCCTGGTGGGCTTGAGGCAGGGCCCAGAGAGGCTCCCATTGAGGGCCACCTCCTGGCTGTCCCACAGCACCACGTGGTACAGGACGCAGGTGCCACGGGCTCGCTCGTATGAGGTCTGCAGGACCAGCTCCCCAGGGAGAGTGCTGAGCTGGAAGAGGAAGATGGAGCTGGGTTACCGGGAGCCTAGGCCACGTCCCCGCTTAGTGTAAGAAAGGCGAGACGCGTTCAGGAGAGAAAACACAAGGAACATCTATGGAGCTTAATGGTTTGCGAGGCTGGGCAGATAACGTGATGGGGGAGTGTGTGGGAGTGGAAGGGGTGTGACAAACAGGAGACTGACGCCCCCTGTAAAGAGGACAGCTACCTCTCGGCTCCACTTCTGAGCTGTGTGGCCTTAGGCCAGTTTCCTAACCTCTCTGAGCCCCGGTTTCCTTGTCTATAAAATGGGGTAAGAATAACAGTGTCAATGGCGAGATAATGGGAGTGGTGTGCTCAGCTGAGGGGTAGACCCCTGGAGGATGCCATGTGGGCGCCACTGCCATTGGTAGTAGGAGTTCGTAAACCTTTAAGTGAGCAGGTAGTACATTCCTGCCCCAGTGCTGGGCGTCAGGGTAGAAAGGTAACCAAGACTGGTTCTGGTCCCTCAAGGTTTCCCCAGCTGGTGGGGAGAGTCACACAGACAGAAATGGTGAGACAAGATGACAGGAATAGTCAAGGGACCAAAGAACACAGAGAAAGAAGTCGGTGGACAAAGCAGGGAAGGGCATTCTAGGCACAAGGAACAGCCTGTGCAAAGGCTCAGCAAAGGGTACTCTCCCTGCCGGTGGGTGCCACAGGTGGAGGGTGGCTCAAGGGCACTGTAGGGGGATTCTTGTGGGGAGGAGAAGAGGAGTTCACTCTTAAAAGTTTCTAAAAACCCATCGCTACTGCCCCCACCTTGGTCCAAGACACCGTCATTCTTGCCCTGCTTGCTGGCTTCCTCACTGGTGTCTCTGCTGCCCTCTGTAGGCCCCTCTCCACAGAGCAGCCAGAGGAATCTGAAAGCATCTCTTGGTTCAAGTCCTCAAAAGGCCTCCAATTTCAGAGAGAATAAACTCCAAACTAGCCTCTGTGGCCTGACACGCCCTGCATGACTGGACTCCCACCACGGCCTACTGCTTCCCCCCACCCACTCTGCTCTAGCCCAGTGGCCATTCCTCAAACAGGCCAAATTCATCCCTGCCCCAGGCCCTTTGCACATCTTGGTCTCTCTGCCTGGAATGCCCTTTCACCAGATTTTCAAATGGCTGATACTTGCTTGTGATCTGGGGCTAGCTCAAATGTCACCTCCTCAGTGGGGCCTTCCCTGGACATGTAAATAACTCCGTGTAATTCCCACTCATATCACTCCATTGTGGTTGTTTTGTTTTTTTTTTTAAATAGTATGTTTTGCCATCTGGTATATTTTTTATTTGACTTTTTCCCCAATCTTCCCAAGACTGTACACTTGATGAGAGAAAGGACTCATCAATCCTGTTCTAGGCAACATTCCCAGCTTCTGGAACAGTGCCTGGCCTGAACAAATAGCAAAAGGAAGGAAGGACAGATGGACATTGAAATCAGCTGAGAATCCATTCCAGTAAATTTTGCCTACTTCACAGCCCGTGCTGCACTAGGTCCTCCCAGGAACCGGGACAATTCCTCTCTCCTTAAAGGGCCACCCCAGGAGCCCTCCAGCCCGCCCTGGCCTCCTCCACGCACCTGGGGGAAGGTCTGTTCCAGCTTGATGATGTTGGCGAGACGGTTCTTAGCAGCCACCAGCCTGGTGCTGACGTGGAAGTGTCGCTTCTCCACCACCAAGACAAACGTGCTCTCGGCTCCACCCTCAGAGTATCGTAGCTGGGTCAGAAGAAAAGCCAGTCAGATCTCCTCATCCAGGTCTCTGGTGGGACATTCAGGAGGATGCTGGCTCTGCCTGCCCAAGCCCACAGCTCCCTGGGCAGGATGAACTCTGATGACACGAGGGTCCAGAACCTCAGTTCAGATCACCAGGTGTGGCCATGACAAAAATCTCCCCCTGCCCTTCATGCTTAATGCTGACTTGAACGTAGCTACCTGTCTGGGGCCAGCAGGCAAGAATTCTAGTTGTATTACCACTACAGACAGCAGGGGGCAGCCTAGCACAGGGGACAATGCAAAGGCATTGCATCAAACAGAACAGGGCTCCAATTCCAGCTCCGCCGGGTGTGGGCTGAATGAACCCTGGCTAGTTCCTCAACCACCTGAGCCTCCACTTTCTAGCCTCATAAACTGGGATAATGATACCTACTTTATTAATAGGTTGGTATGAAACCATATGAAATAATGTGCTAACTTCCAGGCTGGCTGAAGAGCAGCATCACTCTGGACACTTGCTAAAAATACAGATGCTGGGCCTCCCCCTAAGCCCTGGAAAAACAGAACCTCTGGGAACAGGGTCAAGTATTACTAAGAGCTCCCCAGAAGCATCACTCTCCAAAGGAGCCCCCTGTCAAAGCTGCTCAGCCCGAATCTCATCTTTCACAAACCATCTGACAGATTTAAATGGAGGATTTTCACAAAACAGCTGCGTGGATCCTGCAAAACTGTCAATGAAGGAAATCTTCCTGAAGGTGATTAATGATAATGAAATGTTCGGCGGGGGGTGGATATCAGTATCTGCGACTTACTCTGAAGTGCATCAAAAATTAAGGATAGAGAGCGAGGTGAGAAAGCAACTAGAGGGAAATACGAATGAGAAAATCTAGGTGATGGGTATGGGGGGGTTCACTACAAAATTAATTTTGCAGCACCTGAAAAGTTTAATACAAGGTTGGAGAGGGAAAAAAAAGAAGGTAGGCAGTGGGAGGAGAATTTCTAGAATAGGGGCCAGTCTTTGGGTCAAATTTGGCCCCTGCCTGATTTTGTAAAGAAGAGTTTTACTGGAACACAGCCACGCCCATTGGCACATTGCTGCTTTCTATTACAACACAGAGATGAGTAGTTCGCAACAGAGACAGTATTGGGGGTAAAGGCTAAAATATTTACTCTCTGGCCCATGACAGGAACCTCTGTTCTAGATTAAGAAAGTAAAGAGACATGGCATCTAAATACGCTGGGTGATCTTGGACTGCATCCTGGATTTAAAACAAACAAAACAAATCTTAGCAATGATCTCCTAGGGCAGTCTACCCAGGCAATATAAATAAGAGCAAAAATAAACAAATGGGACCTAATTAAACTTATAAGCTTTTGCACAGCAAAGGAAACCATAAGCAAAATAAAACGACAACCTATGGAATGGGGGAAAGTATTTGCAAATGATGCAACTGACAAAAGCTTAATTTCCAGAATATGTAAACAGCTTTATACAGCTTAATAACAAAAAACCAAACAACCCAATCCAAAAATGGGCAGAAGACCTCATCAAGCAATTCTCCAATGAAGACATACAAATGGCCAAGAGGCACATGAAAAAAATGCTCAATATTGCTAATTATCAGAGAAATGCAAATCAAAATTACAATAAGGTATCACCTCACACCAGTCAGAATGGCCATCATTCAAAAGCCCATGAATGATAAATGCTAGAGAGGGTGTGGAGAAAAGGGAACCCTCCTACACTGCTGGTGGGAATGTAGTTTAGTGCAACCATTATGGAAAAAAGTACGGAGATTCCTCAAAAAACTAAAAATAGACCTATCAGCAATCCCACTTCTGGGTATATAGCCAGAGGGAACCCTAATTCAGAAAGATACATGCACCCCAATGTTCACAGCAGCACTATATACAACAGCCAACACATGGAAGCAACCTAAATGTCCATCAACAGATGACTGGGTAAAGAAGCTGTGGCATATTTATACACTGGAATACTACTCAGTCATAAAAAAGAATAAAATAATGTCATTTGCAGCAACATAGATGGACCTAGAGACTGTCATTATAAGAGAAGTCAGCCAGATATAGTAAACAATTTTATGGTTACTGAGGGAAAGGGGGTGAGGGAGGGATAAATTTGGGAGTTTGAGATTTACAAATGTTACCCACTATATATAAAAACAGATTTAAAAAGTTTCTTCTGTATAGCATAGGGAACTATATATTCAATATCTTGTAATAACCTTTAACAAAAAAATATGAAAACATATGTTTAAGTATAAAATTTATATTGTGGGGATGGTTTCACAGGTGTATACTTACCTCCAAACTCTTCAAGTTGTGCATATTAAATGTGTACAGCTTTTTATGTGTTGACCATACCTCAATTAAGTGATTTTTTTAATTAAAAATATGAAAACAAATATATGTACATATATGCATGACTGGGACACTGTGCTGTACGCCAGAAACTGAAACATTGTAATTGACTACACTTCAATTGAAAAAAAAAAGAAAGCTCGAAAGAGCATTATTGCAAAAGAAGAATTATTGCAACAACTGGGAAATTTTATTACGGACTCTGTATTAGATAACAGTATTATGTCACATGTTAAATTTCCTGAATTTTGTCAGTCTATTGTATTATACAAGAAAACACCCCTGTTATAGGAAACACTAGCTGAAGTATTTAGGAGTAATGAGGTATGACCTCTCCAGGAACATCTCAATATTAACCCACAATAATACAGAAGAAATATGTATGTGTACAAATAAACAAAAGTATACAACATATGTAAATATCAACAGGAAGATACAGCAAACTATGAACAACTGGTGATGTAAGATAAATAAATAGCAGGGATGCGTGTACTGCAGGATGACTATAATTAACTCTGCTGAATAGTATATTTGAAAGTTAAAAGAGTAGATTCTAAGAGTTACCACAAGGAAGAAAAAGATTTTTTTATATATCTCTGTGAGATGTTGGATGTTAACTAAACTTTCTGTGGTCAGTTCACAATACAGGTAAGTCAGATCAGTAAGCTGTATGCCTGAAGCCTTTACAGGGCTGTATGTCAATTATATCTCAACAAAACTAGAAAAAAAAAAACCCCAGTTCGTAAGTTCACTGTCTTACAGGAACTTTTCTATAGGTTGGAAATTATTCAAAATAAAGACTGAGGGAAAACTAAGAGGTTCTCTGAATGATTGCACAGTGAAGTCTAGGGAGCACAGAGGTGGTGGGTGAACATTCCGGTACAGGGCCCGGCACACAGTAGGTGCTCTATAAAGAAAGCCTGGGACAGGGCAGGCAGGGCTTTTAACAAACTGGTGGCTGGTGGGATAATGAAGTGACCAGTCGGTGAGTGTAATCACTCAGTCATCTACTCACCCAGTCATTCATTCATTCATTCACTCACCATCTTTCACTGGGCACCTACTATGTGCTGGGCCCTGTGCCAGGCGCTGGGCATACCCTCCAAGATCTCCTGACTTGGGTGAGAGGGGCAGACAAAAATAAACAACAGCTGCACAGAGGGAGGGGGGACCCCAGCCTGGGTCTCACAGGCCCTCCTGCTTCCCCCTAGTACCCCTAGATGCCACACGCACAGCACAGATGCATGGATGAGGGATTCCTGTGGGTTCCAGGTGAAAACGAGATTCGCAGACAAGGGCAGGAAGACAGAGACCCTGGGCCCTGGGCAGGCAGATGGGACACCTGGGAGGTGATGCTGGCTCAGCTCAAAAGGCCCATGTCATCCGATCTGGCAGCCAGGAGCATGCCAGGCCGGGTGAGGCAGTGCCAGGTGCCAGGCACTGGGTGGGCGAGCCTCCCCTGGCTCCTGAGGGTATTGTGGGCCTGGCTGGGGGCTGCAGGGGGCTGGCCCAGGAATGTAAACCTGGGCCTGTTTGGGAAAGCTGGAGCCAGGGGTATCCGAGGGTGGCCCACAGGGGCCTGCTGCAGGCCGGCAGACAGATGTGGATGTCTTAACACTCCCTGTGGCCCCCCCACCCCCAGCCTCGGGCAGGGCATCTGGAACCAGTTAGGAGCTCAGGGGTGGCGGGACACAGTTACCTTGGCAGAGGCCGAGGCTCTGCTGGGGCAGCCGCCTAGGAGGATGGGGAGGTGATGCTGGGCCGAGAGCTGCAGCTCTTTGCTGGAAAGAAGAAAAAAGCACAAGAGGCCTGGCATGAGGGCCCCTGCCCAGGGCCGGGTCATACCAAGCCAACGTCCCCAGCAGAGGCTTGGAGATCCGGGAACACAGCAGCAGCTGGACGAAAGGTCATTCCCATGCCCTGAGGCCGGAGGGCCGTGGGGCTGAGTGGTTAAGGCTGGAGCGTGGCACCAGGTGACCTGTGTTTGAATCCCAGCTCAGCCTCTGCCTCATTCTGGCACACTGGGCAAGTGCCTCAGGTGCAGGCTCCAAGCCTCAGTTTCCCCTTCAGTACAGGGGCCAGGGAAGTACCCACCAATGGCCACCTCGGGTTTGGTCAGTGGGAACTTCAGCAGGATCTGGAGGGTGGGATTTAAACCCAGGCTCCCTCCCGGCAGCCCTGAGCACACAGCACCGCTCCCTGGATCCTTCAGGCCGGGTGCTCACAGCTCCCCACTGCTGCTAGCCCTGGGCGCTGTCCCATCCTGATGGCTCCCCTACCCCAGGGTGTCTCAGCATCAGCACGGCTGACATCCCAGGTCACGTGACTCATCGTTTTGGGCTGACCTGTGCATGTACGAAGCACCTCTGGCCCCTGCCCATTAGAAGCCAGTAGCACCCTCTGCCCAGTTGTAACAACCAGACATTTCCCCAGGCATCACCAAATGCCCCTGGGTGGGCACATTTGCCCCTAGGTGAGAACCACTAGTCTACATCTGTAACAGGTGGCTTACTCATCTTCAATGACCTGGTACGTATGCTAGACTCTGGTGACCCACCCGACTTCATCTGAATGTAAGACGCCCAATCTCTGAGCCAGGTGCCCAGTAGGTCCCCACACTCAAGGGCCATAATAGTTATGAATACGTATTTGAGGCCTGGAATGCATTTAGTTGTGAGACTAAGAACTCCACATCCATGTCCTGCCCCCAGAGACTGAAGTTATTTTCTTAGCTGTGTGACCTTGGGCAAGTCACTTGGCCTCTCTGAGCCTCCCCTTCCACATCGGTGCAGTGGGGCTGTGGGGAAGATTCAAGGAGGCGCTGTGGGTTGGGGATAGGGGTGCTCAGCTGAAGTCTCCCTCACCTGTTCCTCTTCTTTCAGGACCCCCAAAGTTTAGAGAACCCCTTACCTGAGCACCTGGTTCTGGCCACGGACATGGAGGACCAGGTTGGCTTGAGAATCACAGATCAGCTGCAGGGAGGAACTCATCTCCTCCTCTGCCCAGAGATGCCGAAACAGGAGCTGAAGAGGGAGCAGATCGGGGGGCTGTGAGGCATGGGGAGGGGCCCAAGGACCCTCACAGGCCAGGCCACGACCTGCAGCCCCAGTACATCCCCGTGCCCCGAGCCCAGCATGGCATGACAGCCCCTCAGCAGGCCTGGCCCCATCTAATAACCTCTTGGATGGTGAAGACCCGTGCACAGGGCCTGGGTCTGTCCCTCACTGCAGCCCAGGTGGCCCACTGTGGGCCCCCAACACAGACCTGCACCCCAGGCATCAGCAAAGAACCATCTCCCCGTGGGTCTCACCACCCGACCCTGAGTCCAGGAAAAGAGGATTCAGACGAAGTGGGGGAGAGGGAAGTTGGGGGCGCTCGGTTGCGGGTTATAGGAACACCAGCTCTGCATGAAGTGACCTCCTGGCCCCGGAGGCCTCCCCATGGCCGAGTGGAGTCGGGGGCAGGGGGATGGCTGGACAATCCAAAACAGGAGGTTGAGAAAGAGGTTCTAGAATGTGCTCTGTGACTCGCGGGGTAGTGGGAGGGCCCAGCCAAGCAAGGTGAGTTCGCTCCAAGTGACAGTGGCTAGGGCAAAGCCCCGCGTGTGGGGGCCACAGCTGATTCCCCTTCTCAGAGCTGGGGAGGCCGGCATCTCAGGGAAAGACCCAGAACCAAGCCAGAGTCCCTGTTTCAATGCCTACTTGCTCTGTGACCTTGGGCAGGTCACTTCAGCTGTCGTGTGTGACCCAGAGATGACGGTGGTGGTGGTTACAGTGACCATCATCAGCACCGTCACCAGAGCAGCAAAAGCTTCTAAAGCACCTGCTCTAGGCCACGCACCAGCCCAGGTGCATCAGTGGTGTTAACTCATCCCGTCCTCACAACCCCCACGTGATCAGTATAATTATGAGCCTCATTTCACAGATGAGGAGACTGAGGGCACAGAGAGGCTAAGGAATTTGCCCAAGGCCACACAGCCAGCAAGTGGCAGAGCTGGGACTGACCTCCGGAGATGGCGTCAGTAACAACTGAGCTGCTCTGCCCCTCGCTGGGGAGCAGAGCACACAGTAGGCACTCTACAAATGGAAGCTGGGCTTTGATTCTGATTAAAGAGTGAAATAGTGGGAAAGCACACAGGACCGGGAGCCAGAACACAGGGCTGCAAGAGGCCAGTCCACACCAGCCCCACAGCTGGGAATACAGAGGTTGCTCAGCTTACACTGCTCACAACTGTTATTAGTAATAAAACCTTTACAAACTGTAAAGTGATGGAGAGACACAAAGCAAGAGCAGCCACATCGGGATTGTGCACATAGTGGTCCTCTGCCCCTGGGAACAGGATGGGAGTTGACAGAATTAGGAGGGAGCCTGCCTTGCCTGAGGCTGGCCCACCCACTCCTTACCTGGCTGGTGAAGGGCAGGCCCAGCGTCTGGAGAGCATGTGCTGTGTGGCTGGCATTCACCATCAGCTCCAGGGAGCCATTCATAGGGCAGGCCACCAGGACTGCCACGTCCACGCTGACCCCAGCCTCCCCGCCTCGGAAGGTCACACAGGCCTGGACTTGCGTCTCTAGGGGCAGAGAGAGGCAAAGGCTGCTGGGGACTTGGATTCACCTCCCTTCCCTGCTTAGGGATGTACCAGAGGCTGTGGGATGGGCCCTGCCTTGAGGATATCAGTGGGATCGACCCTGGGAGAGCCTTTCACCTCTCTGAGCCCCTGTGACATCATTTGCAGCAAGGCACTCCCCTCCCAATCTCGATCTGGCCGGCTCCTTCTCTCAATGGGGTCACTGCTGAAATGACACCTCCTCCGAGTAGCCTCCCCTGACTGCCCATGCAAAGTACCTCCCAACCCTTCCTGCTCTCTCCCCAGCCAAAAGGTCAGTCCCATGAGGGCAGGGCCTTTAGTCTGTCTTGCTCCCTGCTCTGTGTCCCTAGCACTTAGCACAGCTCCAGTCACATCACAGGTGTCCAGTACTTGTTGACGGGATGAACGAATGAATGACTTCCCTCCAGGGTTAATCAAATATCACATCAATATCCAATGATACTGACCTGCAGCGAGCCTGACCCAGACTGGAGGATCTGTGCCCCTTCTCACCTTGTGTAGGACTCTCTTCCAGTCCCCTGCCCCCGAGCTGGGCCACTTCTCATCTGGGCAGGCAGGTAAAACCCTCCAGAAAAGGAGATTCCAGGTTCTGGCCCAGCCCCATCACCTGCCACCTGGGCCTGGCAGGGCGGGTGGCCCCTCCTTGCAGACACAGGCAGGCCTGGCAGCTCTGGGCCTTAATTTCCTCACCTATAAAGTGGGCACTGCCTGCTCACCTCAAAGGACATCACCAGGATTAACTGAGATAACACACGGGTGAATACCTGCGCGTGGGGCACACAGTGTGTCTCAGAAAGGGTTTGTTTCCTTTCATCATTATCCAACGTTCACCCATGTGTGCCTGCTACATATGGGCCATGAGGAGGGAGGGAACACAGGTGGAAGGGGACCCAGTCCTCTAGCTCAGGGAGGTTCCTGACTGTGGGGGACACCAAGAATGTTGACACCAGGCAAAAAAATGTCCCCTGAGGGACTGGGACAGCCCAATGTGGATGGTGGTGGGGGAGGTGGGAGGTCGCCCTGGCTGGAGGCCAGCAACACCAGGCCTCCTGGGCCCTAGGAACTGGGTCGGGGTGGAAATTATCCCTGGGGTGACTGTTCCATCACCTACCCACCATGCCCCCAACAAACCCTTCCTCAGAGTGGTCTGTGAGGTCAGCTCACACTGAGACAGTCCCCTGTCCGATCCAGGCCCCCACTTGCCCCCAAGGAAGCTAAGAGCCAGGGGTCAAAGAGTGAGGCCAGAAGAGAATGACCCAAGGTACCTGGGGGCCACTCGGGGACCTTAATCTTCACAGTCTACATGGGGGTCAGAGGGTGGCTTTGGAGCCATACTGCCTGGGTTCATCATTAGCCAGCTGGGTGGCCTGGGACAAGTGACTCAACCTCTCTAAGCTTCTATTCCTCCCCTGCAAAATGGGGATGCTATAATCAACCCTGGCCTCACATGTTCATGCATTCACTCAGCAGATGATTAACTTAACACCTACTATTACCACTCCACAAACAGACAGACAAGAGCCACCCGTGTCCTTGTGGAATGTACATTCTAGTGTGGGCCCTGGGGGAAGATAGGCAATGAGAAATAAAGATATTTAATAAGTAAATCACACAGTATCTCAGAACAACAAAGCCAGGGAGAGGGATGGAGAGAGCTGGAGGAAGGTGGAGGTGCAAATAAATGGGGTGAGTGAGAGAGGCCTCACTGAGAAGATGACAGCATCTGGAAAAACACCCAAAGGAGGTGAGGGAGTGAGCCAAGCAGATACATGGAGGAAGAGCATTCCAGGCAGAGGGCAGCCTGTGCAAAGGTCCTGAGGCAGAAGCCAGCCTCTGGTGCTGGAAGAATAACAAGGAGTGGAATGAGCAGGGGCCAGGAGAGAAGTCAGAGAGGTGAGGGTGCAGATCCTGAGGGCCCAGAGGCCCCATGAGGAGCTTTGACTTTCCCTTGATGTGAACAGCATGTCTGAGCAGATTCATTGAGCTCCTGCGTAGCAAAAGCTTCCCTGGTGTGTACGCAGTAAGCACTCAATCAATGCCGGTTCTTACTACTGTTATGTTCCCCTCCTCCTCCACTTTGGGTTAAACTGTTTCCCCCTAAAAAATCATGCTGAAGTCCTAACTCCCAGTACCTGTGACTGTGACCTTATTTGGAAAAAGGGTCTTTGCAGAGGTCATTGAGCCCAGATGAGGCACTGGGTGAGGATGGGCCCTAAACCAGTGACTGGTGTCCTTATAAAGAGAGAAGAGGTAGAGACACAGGGGCAGAGACTGAAGTGATGGGGCCCCAGGAGCTGGAAGAGGCAGGAAGGAGTCTCCCCTAGAAACTCTGGAGCCATCATGGCCCCAACAACACCTGATCACTGATTTCCAGCCTCCAGAACTGTGGGAGAATTAATTTCTGTTGTTTTAAGCCACCTAGCTTACGGGGTGCTGCTTCGGCAGCCCTGGGAAATGAATGTACCCTTGGGAATCAGGCTCCCAGGGCAAAGGCGTCCCTGGTTAGTCCTGGAGCTCAGGGTCCCACTGGGCTGGTGAGGGGTGGGTCTCAGGGCCCCTGGGTCCAGACCTGAGGCTGGCGGGCAGGTCCCGGCCTGGGAGAAGCCGGCTCCTTACCACGCATCTGCAGCTCAGCGTCGAGATGGGCCTCGCCCGGGAACCCCGCCTGCAACAGGACCAGGCTGTTGTGATCGCTCTGGCCAGAGAGCTGCAGGTGCCCACTGTGGTGACGGCAGCTCACGGAGTAGTTCAGCGATGCAGGCCCCACTGAGACGCGTCCGGAATTCTCAAAGCCAGAGCCACTGTCATGAATGTCCATGAAGAGCTGGAATGAAACCCGGGAGACGCTGGATCGCCCCTCACAGAGAAAGCCAGCCCGGCCAGCTAGCCCCGGCTCCCACAAACCCTAGGGTTTTGTGCCACCCACGCCGCTTGGATGGGGAGAACCAGGACCCCCTCAAGGGAGCAGGTTAGAAATAACTGTTGCCCCCAGGACTAACTACACATGTGCTGTTCTACTGGAGGGAGGATGCTGGCTGAGGAGTGGCTGCTCCTGGGTGCGGGGTTCCCATCTGGGGTGATGAAAAAGTTCTGAATTAGAGAGTGGATACACAAATTTATGAATGTACTAAATGCCCCTAAATTGTACACTTTTGTCCAAATGGTAAACAGCATATGTATTTTACAATGAAAAAAAGTTAGGTGATCGGAGAGGCTTTTGTTCTAACGAGGTGACTCTGGGTGGGCTCCCGGGTGGGGGCTGATCACCAGAAAGACCAAACCATGATTAGAAGCTTAGGCAGAATTAGAGCTCCGGTAGACGGTGTCAGAACTGAACTGAGTTGGAGAACACCCAATTGGTGTCTGAAAGTTGGCTGATGTAGGGACACACCCCAGGCCCTGGTCAAGAAGTGTTCCGTGTGAGAAGCAGGGACAGGTCAGGGTTTTTTCTTTATGGAGGCTTGGGGCGTGGGTGACACTGGAGGGGGGCCTGTCCAGGGGAGGTCTGAGAAAGGCAGAGGGCACGGAAGGGAAGGACATCCCACCCCAGGGAAGGGGGGCATGAGGAATGGGAGGGGCAGCACGCATGGCTGGAGGGGAGACATGGGAGGTGGGCTCAGAGCAGGGATGGGGCCAAGTCTGTGCAGGAGGTTCTCGGCTGCTGGGCTGGACTCTTGAGTGAGGGGCTCAAGTGGACCTGGGGGTTGCTGGGTGAAGATGAGACCAGAGGGGCACAAGGTGGAAGCAAGAGAGCTAGCCAGTGGGCTAGGACCCAGTGTGACCCGAGGAGGTAAGAAGGGGCCGGGTTCTGGGTGCCCTTGGGAGGCAGCACTGTCTGTCAGCATTTGCTGCAGGAGGGATACTGTTTGTGGGCAAAAAAAAGTATGACTTCAGCGGTTTGACTACATGGCTGGAAGGACGGACGAGGCGCCGTTTGCCGAGTTGGGGAAACGGAGCAGGGCAGGCTTGGAGGGGTCAGACTGTCTGGTTTTGGAACAGCCAAGTTGGAGCTTCCCACCAGGTGCCCAAGTGGAGATACAACAGGCAGGTGGGTCTACTTACGGGTCTGGGGTTCAGGGGAGGGAGACATGAGGGAGATGGTGATGCAGAGATGGCACGGATAAGAGAGACTGGAGAAGCCCGTGACTGGAATGGAGTGTGCGTGGATAAAGGGAAAAGGGGCTGAGGACAAGCACTGGGGCCACTGGGAGTGAGGAGGGGGAGGCTCTGGAGAAGGTCTAACAGTCCCAAGGGGCGTGGCTGGGTGTGGGAAATGAGTGCAATCATCCCCAATTCCCAGATGAGGAGACTGAGGCTCAGAGGGAGGATGAACCTCGTTCTACCATCCCCTTGTCTCTGCGAACTTCCAAAAAGGTTTGTTGAGTGAATGAATGAACACTTGCATGGATTTCTGTCATCACTGCCACCCGCCAAGGCTGACCTGCAGGCCCAGCTTGTCCTCCACCCACAGCGCCCGCAGCGTGGGGATGTTGTGCTGGAGCACGCAGTCCAGGGAGATGTGCTCTGGCCGCCGAGTGAAGGGCAGCTCCTCGGACACCTGCCAGGGTGGATGACCGTGGGACCTGGGCCATTGGCTGGGCCGTCCCCACAGTCCCCAGCCCCCACCCGAGCCCTGCACCTGTGTGCCGTCCACTCTGACCCGCAGGGTGTGTCTGTGGCTGGGCCCGAGCCACCCGGTGGTCAGGTCCAGCAGGCCCCGGGCTGGGAGGCCCAAGGGGCCAGGTTGGGGCAGGTTGTGCGTGAGCAGCACGTTCACCTCTTGCTGGGTCCGCAGTGGAGCAAGAGAGACTCACATACAGGGGAAGTGGCCAGATTGTCCCACAGAGAGGAAAGCAAACCACTCACAGACACGACATCAAGCCTCTTTCTCCCCCTCCCCATTGGCCATCACACTGTGGAAAGACAGCTGGGTGGATCTTCAGGAAATACGGTGTATGCATTTGGGGCATCTGATACAAAGTAAGTGGCGTGGATGAAATTCACCGGGGAGGTGCCCAGGGGAGGAACCTCACTGAGAAAGACTCCATGAGGTATAGGGAGGCACCCACAGAACGTCCGAGAGAGAGATGCCTTCCAGGGTGGGACGCAGTGGACGGAGAAAACCATCAGCAGCCCACAGGAAAACTCGAGATGCTCGGAATGACGCTCAGAATGACTCAGGATGGAGCTGCTTCTCAGGTGGGCAACTCAGCGTCACACGCCCGGGGTGAGAAGCAGCAGGGACTCTGAGGTTAAGTAACGGTTAGAGAATCTCCCAGGGAGCTTTGGGGAGGCAGCTAGTTCAAGTAAAATTGAGTAAGTGGAGGTGAATCCACACAACACCCTCCGATTCAGCAACTCCCCTCCACGTATACGCTCACTAGGAGTCAGGTCCTAGAGTGTGAGGCAGCACTGTTTGTAATAGGCCAAAACTTAACACACACATGCAGAAGAACTGAAAGCGGGGTCTGGAAGAGTTATCTGCACATCCATGTTCATAGCAGCATCATTCACAACAGCCAAAGGTGGAAGCAACCCAAGTACCCAAGTGTCCGTTCACAGATAAATGGATCAACAAAATGTGGTTCATCCCTATGATGTGATAATATTCAGTCTTAAAAAGGAAGGGAATTCTGACCCCTGCTATAACACGGGTGAAGCTGGAGGACATGATGCTAAGGAAATGAAGCCAGTCACAAAAAGCCAAGCACTGTATGATTACACTTCAGTGAGGTTCCCAGAGCAGTCAAAGTTATAGAGACAGAAAGTAGAGCAGTGGTTGCCAAGAACTGGCGGGAGAGGGAAACAGGGAGTTATTGTCCGATGGGGACAGAGTCTCAGTTTTGTGAGATGAAAAGAGCTCTGGAGATGGGTGATGGTGATGGCTGCACAACAATGAATATACTTAGTGCCACTAAACTGTGTACTTAAAAATAGTTATGATGGGAAATTTTGTTATGTGTCTTACACCACAGAAAACGTTTTAAAAATAGAATTAAAATATTTACATGATTAATTAATAAAATAGTATGCAAGAAACTGGACACCGCCCAAATGCTAACTGATAGGATGGGTAAAAATGCCCACAAAATAAGGTCACATCATGGAATACTATACGTCATGAAAAGGATAATCAACACAGCATGGGTGAATCCCACAAACATCACGTTAAACAGAAGAAGGTGGATGGAACATGCTGTGTGCTTCTATGTACTTGACATTTAAAAAGTTGTATAGGTGGTGACTCCTGGGCGAGTTAGGAAGGGGAAGAGGCAGCTGAGGGACTTCTCCCCAGAAGCCTCATTCCTCTACTCATGGCTCTCATCTGCCAG